ATGGTCACATCTAAGAATCATAAGGCATTGGCATTTCGTTTTAATGACACTTCGTTTCACCCAGCCTAGATGGACAGTCATGAATCATATTGTAATTACTTGTTAATCATGACTAATGTGTATACATATTAATGTAAGAAAGATGAAGTGCATCTACACTAGATGAACTGAAAAATAAAAAAAAATAAAAAAATTCAACTTTTTAGATTTCCATATATCACTTGGGAAGAGGAGATTAGATTGGAAAAAGAAACTTATTATGATATCCATATATCAATGGTGAAAAGGAGGAACCTAGGACTAAAAAAAATGTCACCAGGAGGACTAATAACCACGGCAAATAAACCCAGACACGAGTTGGATGAATAACTGAGAAACGTAAACAAAATAGACTGCATATTGTGCTTTTGCCACTTGAGAGGGTTCTTGTTGAAATAGGAATTGAGAAATTGGGAATCACGTTTTAACAAATTTTCATCATTATCATTATTTTATTTACAAAAACTTGGCAACTGATTTATAGAATTTACCAGATGATGGAAGCCTTAAAATCCCAGCATTTCCTTCAGTAATTGGGGACTTCTGCCATGCAAGTGACCGGAAACTATCCAATGGGCTACCATCTTCAGAAGCAAATGCAGTTTCTATAGTTGAACCAGATTTGACATCTATACAATGATTACCACCACCTCCATCTGGCAACCAATTTGCAGGTGTCCCTTCCCCAGCTACTCTTCCACGATTATCCCATCGAAAGCTCCATGATGGTGAATACCTGACATTCATTTGCAGAATTTCACTTGACGATCTGTTTGTTATAGTTCTATCCCTTGCAGCAACACAACAAGCAGATCCCATGCTTTCTCAGCCACAGAAAAAAAGAACAACTTATGGATAACCAACTTTCACGTCACTGAGAGCAGGAATAATCTGAGCATAAGTTTATCACTGGAACGATGAAGTAAAAGTACTCAATCAGACATCAAACTAATACAAGGACAACTACAAAACTATACATCCACACTCAAACTCTGCTACAGCCAACATAAAATACGTATTTACGTATAAAAGAATTAAAAAATTGTGACAAAGATATACTGCTTCAAAGTATTTTGGAGTCCAACAATTAGGAACAAAAAAAATATCAGTACATACAGTAACACTATCTATATAGAAGTTAAAACAAAGATTACCAGCTCTCAAATTGCTATAACATCGAGAAACAACAACCGTTGATGACAAACACAATCACCACAAAAAGATTGAAGTACAAAATAAAAAAGAGAGATACTTCACTAATCCTAGTTTCTAACAAAAATGTAGTCTGCATACTTTGTGTTAACTGGGTTCCAGTACTGACTATTATTCCCATAATTAAAATCCTAAAGCAAAACTAAATTCAATTTTTTTATGAAAAGGAATTTTTCAATCGTCATCAATTGTAAAGCATCAAGTAAATAACAGTTACATGCGACTTCACATTAAAAAAATAAAATAAAATCCTCACCTTTCGCCAATTTCCCCCCAATTCCAGTTGCTCCAATTTAGGGCTTCTCAGAGCTCTTCTTGAACCCAAACTATAAACCCAATCCGATAAAACAGTGCGCCAATCTTGAAAACAACAATTATATGCATCAATCATCAAAACACAGAACAAAACAAAGATGACAAATTAAAGTATGGAAACAAATTAAACAAAAAATTTAAACCATTAAATCTTACACCAAGGAGAATCAACGCAGAGAACCCAACAGTCAAATTTCAAGTGTTAGATTAGTAGGGAGTGACTGTCACCCAAAAAAAAACCCCTAAAATCAAGAATCGAACATTACAGAGGTCCATAGAGATCCAAAACTTGTGCCGAATTAAAAGTTCAAGTCAAATCAAACGTAATGAACAACTCACTATCTAATTTTAATCTATGTAATTCACTAATTTTCCATTCTTATCTCCCATGAAATATATCATTCTCTCACAAACCCAATACTTGAACAAAAATTGTAAACATAAATTATGTAAAAAAACAAACGAAAATTGCGTCACGCAACCGTACTTTTAACGTAGGGGGTAAGTGGTTCGGTTTTATCGATTTTTGACAAATT